ATGTGTACACCTGCCTGGGAATCATAAGGATGAAAATTAATCAAAATCAACGGAAATCGCTTAAAATGAGCGGGAGACTAGTGGAACTCGTACAAATTAGTCGAAATAATCGTTTTCTACCACTAGAAAACCGAAGAAATGAACATAAGTGGACGGGAATCACTGGGAATCAAGGATTTCGGGAATCATGTGTACACATTAAAAGGGAGTTATTGCCCCCTCGGCTGAGATACATAAATCGAAGGATCCTTTTCCCTAAGATAGTACACTCGTAAATCAAAAAAGACGCGAATGAAGCATAGTAGCTACGGCGAGAAGTAGAAACCTATTACCAAACGTAAGTTTTCAACGTTGAATCTACAAACAGTTTAGCAAATAGAAAGCGTTAATTTCGTTGTATTACAATTTAAATTTATATGAACTAATGCGAACCAATGGCATTTGCCATGAAATTTTTTCCCGTATGACCCAACGAAGTTGGTTTTCGGTTTGCAGTTTAACAGTGAAGAGCCCGCAATGCTGCGGCTGGGCTGGGCGGGATGCTCAGCAAGCAGCAGGAGCAGCATGAAAATACTGTAATAAGATGGTTGGATTCCATCATGGCGCCCCCAGGGGACGTCCCTGCCGACCCTCTCACCTCACCCCCCCCCCCCCCCCCCCCCCCCCCCCCCCCCTCTCTCTCTCCCTCTCTGTTTTGGCGGCTCAGTCAAACTCCCCCGCCCGATGCGATGGGTGGCAGTGGTCATCCCCCGCCCGCCGGGGGGACCCTCTCTCTCTCTCTCGGCTGGTCTGACAGATGGCCTGGTCGCCCCGCCCCACCACACTCCCCAGTCTCCCCCGCGTCTGGGCCAGGGGCAGGGCGCGCGGCAACCGCTGGCTGCTGCGGTCCCCCTCCACGCCCCAGACCTGACGTCTTTAATTAGTTTATCAATATGGCTCGGGGCGGCTTGTCGCCCTGCACATAATGACATGTGCGCAATAGGCACAGAAGTTTTTTTCCATTCTCTTCGTGCGTGTATCATGTCTGATTTTAGAAACACAGAAAAAACAAAATCGTACTGCCAGTTATAATGCCTTTGAAAAGGTACTAAACCCTTAATACCCTTAGTGCCTTACGAACTTGTGTTTTCAATAGAAAAATAAATAAAAGTCATTAAGAGCAAGATTTTTTTACAACGAATAATTCTTTGTGAAACTAGCGTAGTGACAATATTGAATATATAGAGTTGGACAAAATTAGTGTGTCCATTAGAGGATACAAATTTGTCGGTTCTCCGGATTCAAAATTGCGTCTTGCAAGATGCGCTCACACATGCATCTCACAATCGACAAAATTTTATACTTTCCACACAGTGTGCTTCCAATAAAGTGAATTGTTATTTGCTCTCTCTCTTCTTCCCAAAGTTTTGCCACTCTAATCGATGGCCTCCCTTTCTCATTATACTCTGGCGTCGTCAGGCCTAATAATTTGTTTTCTAGCGACATCCTCCGGCTGCCTCCGGCAGCAATAATGGAACGGGGACGCGCTGTATTCGCTTGCAAGTTATGTATAACTGCGGGGAGAAAAAGCAGAGAAAAATTGTCACCCAAAAAACATTTTTCGGCCAGTTGTAAAGGATTTGTATACAAACAGGGAGCCATATTTGTTTCACATTCTTTGGAGCGTCATTTAGTTCTCTTTTTCATTGAAAATCGAGCAGTTGTCCAACGGAACTATTCCTAGTAATTTTCTGATAAGAAAAATGCCTGCACTTTTCTTTTTTGCTCTTTTTCCAAGACACTACTTCCATCAAAGAGGTGGGCGATTTTCTCAGAGAGGTGCTCTTGCGGGCGCCTGTTGTGTTCCGACCTTGACCCCCTCGAGGCCTCTGCCCCAAGGGCACGACCACCACTCCGCCCAGGCCTCATGGCCCGGTGCGAGGGGCTGCTGTGCGCCGAGCTCCATGTTAATCTCGTTGTCGGCGGCTGACGACTCTATCGGAAAACCGATGAGCGTCGTTATCGCCGAAGACGATAAGACGTTGGCGTAGCTCAGCTCGTAGGTCGACTTGTAACTCCAGCTCGTAGCTCAGCTGGTAGCCCGGCTGCTAGTAGCCCTGCTGCTCGTAGCCCGGCTCGTAGCTCGCCTCGTAGCTCCACGCTAGGCCGGGCTCTGCTCCCTCGCGGCCAATAATAGATTTATTCGAAAGTAGTAGCGCGCGAGGCGAGCAGCAGACTGGCGGCTGCCTACTCACTTAATCCTGCTCTCCTCATCCCCTTCCCCATCTCTCTCCCTCTCACTTTTTCTCCCTCTCTCTCTCTCTGCCTTTGCGGGGCGCGCGGGGTTCGCTCTCTTGTGACTACTCACTTAACTGACGGGCCGACGCACTTGGGAAGTGCTGTTGGTGCGCCGTGGCCCGAACACCCCGTCAGCTCGCAGCTTTAAACTTTCCATCGGCCCGCGCGCTGTAAACGGAGTATAGCGTCGAACCGATCGCTTAGGTCGCTCCCCGGAAGCCGCACCCCAGACCCCTTTGCCGAGGCGGGGGCAGATCCACGGATATTGCCCGGCCGACGGTACCGTCATGAGCGAAGGGTGCGGGTTCGCGGAGGGGTTGCCGTCCGAGGCCTAGAAACGAACAAATGTGATGACTCTTCCTAGCCTCATCCATGTCTAGCAGGGGGGCTGCCTGGTACCTGCCATCTCTCTCTTACATCGTCTGACCGCGACCTCCAGCCCCCTGCTTGCCACTATGCCCATCCCCACATGATTTGCATGCGTGTGCCCTGGCAGTTCCACAGGGACCCATCCCCCCGCCCCGCCGAGCCCCGCCGATCGACTTCGGGCGAGAGAGGACGTCGAGCGGGGAGGTGGTATGGTACGGAAAGTGGCGGGAAAGGGGGGGGGGGTAGTCGGTGGGAAGAAGCAGAGGAAAGCGAATTCCTGGCTCTAATTCCTTTTCACAAAACACGACGCGCGGCGAGAGTTGGCAGCGCGCTCGCGGCGGCGGTTTACCGTCCAGTGGCGTGGCCCGGCGTGGCGTTTGCCTCCCCTTCCCTCGTCCCCCCTCCCCTCTTCCGCCACGCGTCCCCCGCCCAGCGCCCCCGCTGGTTCGGCAACAGAGAGAACTTTTTCTTTTTGATTAACATTTCTCCCTCCAGGCCGTCGTCGTACTTCTTCGAGTTGTGCAGCTCGCGGGAGCGCCACCTTTGCGGGGGGTGGGGGGCGTGTAGGCCCGTGATGCCCGGTGAGGATTTAATGCCGAAACGTGCTCTAATTCGGAAGTGAAACTGGAGCGCGGCGTGGCGGGGCGGGTCGGGCGGGCACGTGGCCGCGGGGATGGGGAATGGGAGCCCTGCCTGCGAAGCGTAAGGATACAGAACAGCCAACAAGCCCGCCGAACGGACGGCCAGAAGCTTCACATCCACACAGCTTCATGAACTGAAGACACATTTAAAATTTACGCCTCGCTCGGGCGGACCTCTAGGACTCAAGAGGAGAAGGATGGGAGGGGAGGGGCAAACAGCGGAGGCCAACTTTGTTTCGCCGTCCCGCTCCCCGCTGTGCCCGGTGCCGTGGCTCCGTGTCTGGCGCCGCCCGTCAGGCCGTCGTCGCCGGCCAAGCTGCCCACCAGGCTACCCCCAGCTGGCATTGTTCGTGTCTTTTATTCAGGGTTGGGCCGGCCTGCTGGCGGTGCAGCCGCCCTGCCCACCCTGCCCTGCCCCCGCCCCGCCCTTTCGCCAGTCGCCCCCAAGACCTCAGACTACGATCACGGCGCTGTGTAATTTCTGGCCGCCGCTCCGAAATATGACGTTCTCGTGATTGAATAGATTAGCGCTGTAATGAAGCACTGGTCGTATCGCCCCCGGCGCCGCTCCGGGAAGCGTTTGGGAAACAAGATCGAAACCCGTAAAAACAGGCGCGCAACGATTTGCAGTAATCCGCACCTCTCAGCTGACGGAATCACCTCCCCCCTCCCTCTCTTCTCTTCAGACTTTGGGGCATGAAAGTGAATGGCCCGGCTCCGCGGGGGAGGAGTGTTCCACGCAAGGCGCGCGAGTGAGGGCGGGCGAGTTCCTGGGCGTGGCGTGGCGTGGAGAGACGAGCCGGACGGTGGTGGGTAAGCAGTTGGCTGGCTACCCCTGGCCTCCTAGCCCGCCTGGACCGGGCCGGCGGGCCACCCTACTTGGAAAGTGCTTCACTTCCCAAATAGTTGGTGGGATTTCATCCGGCCCTCGGGGCTCGGGGCACGGAGCGCCGGGGCGGGGCGTGTGGGTCGGGCTGGGCTGCTAATGCGTGCCTCCTCCGTGGCCGTGGCCGCTGCGCTGCAGAGCTGCTCGATAACCTAAATAGTAAATGCCGCCCGGGGGGCATAGCGGCGGCCGCAGCACCCCGCGCCTGCCCGGGATGAGCGACTGCAGGACGTGTGGGTTGCAAGGCCGCCGCCGGGCCAGCCACCCCTGGACTCCAGGAGACTCCCTCCAGGGCCCCGAGGATCTGCCGGAGTGGGCCGCCTGGGGGGAAATGGAGGCGAGGCGTGGCTGCTGCCGCTGTTGTTCTTGCCAGGTGCTTGTATAAAAACATTGTGCACATTCCGTTAATGAATCCGGCTCTCTCTCTCTTTCCCTCTCTCTCCCTCTTCTTGCTGCTCCGCCTCCCACCCGGCAGGTCTGAGACCCGTGTGGCGTGGCGCCGCGTGGCTCCCAGAGGCAAAAGAAATAAGTGAGCACATCCCCGCGACTGAGTTACCACGGCAACCGCCACGCCAACCGCCCCGCTACGCTCCGCTCCGACCCTCGTCTCTGTCTTTGTTCTCGAGTGCCGTCTCCGTCGCTCTCGCACGCAGTCACCCTCTCTGCCTCCCTCCCGCACGCACCCGGGCGCACCGAGTGCACCTCCCGACATTATGGCTGCTCAGCTGACCTCGGAAATGGGGCAGGCGGAATACCGCGAAAATGTTTAGACTGGAACAATACAGCCGATGGTGTTAAGTAAACTTCACGTTATACTTTACCAAAACTGGTCAGAAGGGGTTGTTGAGTAACCGTGTAGTCCTAGAAGTGGGCGCTTCTGGGAGTGGCGGTCTGGCCGTGGGTGCTGCAGGTGGTCTGCTTGGCGGCGGGGAGGGGTTGGGGCCCGGGCCGCCGCCGGTTCCTTGCGGTGACGCCTGGCACGGACCAGGCTCTCGCCGGCGCTCGCCCGGAGGTGGACGTCACTTAAGCCTCCCCTGCACTCAGGGTTGACGCGGCAGAGGATTGGCGAGGGCGTCACACTGAAAAGGAAAAGTTTTTGTTGTTGTTTTGCCATCATAGGATGAATCTATGCAATATTCAATACCGAACTAGTGACACTTTTTTCATGTTTCTGCTGAAAATTATACAAAACTGTTCTTGTGTTACTGTTGAGGATTTAAAAATGAATCTTGCAGTACACAAAATATGCCTCTTGTCGTTACGGCGGCGAGACGTAACGACTATGTGAAATTTATAAGCTGAATTATTGTCCGTGTCCCTCATGACAGTAATCGTATGCAACTTAGGAGAGAAGAACAAAGAAATCAAAGCTCCCAAACTTCTCACGCCACAGCAGAAGCTGGCGCATTTTAGGTGCTTCGTGCGCGCGCGAAACAATTCCAGTGGCGCGTGCGTGTTCGCTCCAGGGGAATTCCAGGAGTGCCTCTAGCAGCGCGACACGCTTCCTCTCCAGGGGCGGCCTGTGCAGCATCACGTCCACCACCGTAATGGCGTCGCTCTCGTCGCGCCGGGGCGGGGCGGGGTGGGGGGAGGCGGGGTGAGGTGAGGTGGGGTGCGGTGCGGCTCGAGGAGGAGGAGGGTTTGTTTGCCGCAGACAAAGGCGCGTCGTGTGGACAGAGCGAGGATAAAGACGCCGGCCTAGGTGCGACCCTGGGTGGCGCGACCACGCTGGAGCCGCAAGGAGGGGGGGCCCTCGGCCTGCCACCTGGGCTCGGCTCCCGGCCTATTCAACCCTTCCTCTCTCCCGGGTGTGGGCGCGCGCGGGGCTGCCGCGTGGTGGTGGCGGGGTGCTGCAAAAGGACGCCACCCTCCCTCCCGCTCCCCTATTTACTGTCAAAGATTTCTCTGCGGGCCCCCGTGCGGCCGGGCCCGGCAGTGTAAACTGCACTGTAATTCCTAAAGGCAACTTTTTTAGCGGTTGCCTTTGTTGTTACTCCCCAGGCAGTGAGAAATCGTGAATGTTGCCCCTAGGGAGGCAACAACCAAAAGTGTCCGGGCTCAAGGCAACATTTGTTGCCTCTGCCGCAAAGTCTGCCTTGCCGCGGGGAAGAATGTTACCCTTGGCGTAAAGGCAACTTTTGTCGCCGTGCGGGCGGCTACCTTCTAATCCCCGCATAGGCGTTAAAAAAGTTTCCTTTTTGAAAGGCGACTATTGTCCTCGTGTATTCGACAAGTTTAGGTGCCGTGTTCAAGTGACACTAAGCATCCTCACTGCTGTAGGCCTATTTATTCGTCTTCCCGGAGGGGGAGGGACGGAGGAAGAGGAGGGGGAGGGCAAGCGTAGGGAGCCTCCAGGCTCCCTAGGGCAAGCGGCGTGCCCGGCGGTGTCGGGCCGGCGAGACAAAGGCTGGAATGTGTTTCGTCGTCCGGACTCACCCCCGCATCGGGCTCAATGGCTCAGTTGGTTGCGAACGAGGCGAGGACGCTGAGTTGCCAGCGCCGGGTTCAGGTCCCGGCGCTGGCAGCGGTAGGCGTGTATCCTTCTATGTAGCAGCCAAAAAGCCATGATGTTAGCCTAAAAGGGCGTTACCAACTCGGATGACCGTAGGAATCCGGAATAGCGAAGGGGCGATCGCCTCGATGCGAACACCGGGGCACACCTTCCCAAACAAATGATTTTTTTAATTTTTCTTTAAATATTGGCAGTTTGCTACTGGTTCTGTTGGTAGAACTATTCTCCC